AGAGAGAGAGAGAGAGAGAGAGAGAGAGAGAGAGAGAGAGAGGGACAGATCAGGGGGAGAGATGGTTGCGACCCTAGCGTGGAGGGAGATCATACATGGCGACGCCGTGAACTGCTTCGAGCAAGTGCATGTTCGCGGCGTGTGGTTGGATAGGAACCAGGACGCTTTCGGGGAAGAGATTAAGAGGAGGACCACGCAAGTCTACTCCATGGATGTCAACGGCCTGCCCGCTGTAAACCTCGATGTCGCTCTTGGTTTCGCGGGGGACTTGCTGAGCCATGTCCTCATCTGGGTCACGAAGCTCGCGGACGACATACCGGACGACTGGCGTATGCTGCAGCACGACATCGTCGGGGACATCGTCCTCAAGAGCGGAGAGTACCTGGCGCTGGAGCACGCTGAGCGACTGTACATGGGGGCATTCTACCACACCTTCCTCGATTGGCCGCTCGTCGGGCGGGGGTATCTCCACGGCGAAATCAGGTTGTAGTCGGGAATCGGGGTGTTGGTGTGTCAATGGTGTTGTTCTTGTGTAGATTAGACGTAGGCAGTATGGGTATTCGGGGGTGATCGTTGATGGGACTCGCAGTGACGTCAACGGAACTACGTGATGCGGTTTTTTAATGCTGGTGCACGTATTTTGTTCTCATGGCATTTTTAGTTTTTTTTTTTTTTCCTTTTTGTTTTCCTTTTTTTTTTGTTGTCGCACTTGATTGGTGTTGTTTGTCAGCCATTGATGGGACCATTGGGACGTGTACACGGGCTTCATCGGTTTTCCCTTACAGAGTCGTTCCTTCGTGGTTCCCACATGGTGACTGCTCGCGGTGGAGGGAGAGAGAAGCTAAAAGAGGATTGTAATTGGATTGTGTTGTTGTTGTCTGCTTTGCCGTAATCTGCACACTGCTGATTTTTTGATATTAGCTATTATTAGGGTATTGTGATTGGTCGCAGTGGAGGGTGGTGACATGAACAGTACTGCTTATGACATTCGGGTTTTGAACTATGGTTTTCCGATACCAGAGAACTTACTTTGTTTGTTGTCCCTTTCTGCTCTGTTGATGAATGAGAAATGCCATTCCAAACTTTCTTTGCATTTGTGTCTCTCTCCCTCTCCCTCCATCTCCCTCTCCCATAAACCTTGCCGTGTTTGTGATTCTGAAACTATGATTTGATTGGGATTTTCACTCCCTCCCTCTCCCATGCCTGCTGTGTCGATATATACAAACTTTCATTGGAATCGATCAACACACACACACACACACACACTGCCTCCACACACACACACCCACACCCACACACACACACCCACACCCACACACACGCACACACGCACACACACACACACGTGTGTGTGTGTGGGTGTGGGTGTGGGTGTGTGTGCGTGTGTGTGTGTGTGTGTGGGCGTGTGAGAGAAAGAGAGAGAGAGAAAAAGAGAGAGAGAGAGAGAGAGAGAGAGAGAGAGAGAGAGAGAGAGAGAGTTCTCAAAGAAAGTCAGTAATCATTGTAATGGAACGCACCGGGCACTAGAGTTCAAAAAAAATAAAAAAAATAAAAAAAATCATCACCGCCCACATGGATTGGGTGGCGGACCGCCATCCACACGTGCGTGATTGCACACGTGACTAATCAAACTGTCCCTAATCTCCCCCGCCAGTTGTCCGACGTATGTAGGGTCTTCTTCAGGCGGTGGATGCTGCGGCGGCTGTCCCTCAGCGCGCACGCGTCGTCGCCGACGTGGCTGGCTATCCGCATCACTACGGTCATCATCGCTGTCATCGGACAGCAGGTCCGAATCGATGACGACCCTCGCATCAACCATGATGTTGTGGAGAATGGAGATCTTCATGAACTCTTTCAACAGAGTCTTCATGTTGCCAATCTGACGGCGGATGAAATGTCTCCAAACGGACTTCAATCGCCCGAATGTCCGTTCGATACATGACCGCGTCGAAGTGTGACAATCGTCGTATGTCACTTTCGCGGCCGTTCTCCCGCCTTCCTTGTTGCCGACAGGAGTCATTATCCACGACAGAAATGGGTATCCTGCATCACCAAGCACGTCATGGCCCACATGACGACCGTCTGTCAAAACGACAGACCCCGAGCCGAAAACGCCACGGCCCTCTTGCGCCATTTGGTATAGAGGAGACAAACGAAGGGCACGGGAATCGTGTAGAGAACCAGGGCACCCCACATACACACTACATATGCGGCATTCATGGTCGCACACCACTTGGGCTTGCACGGAGTACTGCCCCGTTCGGTCGTAGTAACACTCTGGCCACTTGTTCTTCGGTTTTTCGAGGTATATGTGAGTATCGTCTATGTCTCCCACGCACCTTGGGAAACCCTTTCTCTCGAAGGCAACAAGCACATCCTCCATCCTCCTTCCTGTCGGAAACGAGATGATGTTGCCGTACTCCCTTATCAAAGCGTCCGCCACATCCTCGTTACTCCGAAGACCGATGCACAGACCCAACCCCAGCCCATGCGCTGTCTGTCTGTAGAAACCTCCCGTGGCCCACCAGATGAGAGCGCAAGCGAATTTCTGGCCGGTCGGGACAGGCTGCCTCCAGTTCGTCGTCTGGCGCTGGATATGGGGCCAATTCGGGCTAGCACGTCGTTGAACACAGGCCGCGGCAACCTGCAAAATCGCTTGAACACTTTGTCGTGCTCCACTCCCACCCTCTGCAGATCCGTCCACAACCCCCCGCTGCGTTCGATTACCCATACTCGCCGTCGCCGGTCCAACCTCGCACCCAATTCGTCGACAATGCAAGATGCTTAGGACAAGCTGTGCATCACCACACCAGCCAGATGGAAGAAGGCGGACGAAACCTCGGAACCGCACAAGGGCACTGCTGCTGCAGCTTGAAGGACGCCCATGGCGACGACGTTTCTCCGGTTCATCCATTGCATGATGACGAAGAGGATGATGAACATCTCATCATCATCCCAGTAATCGGCCACGGTTGTTGACATCGACGCGTCCATGTGGGGGGCACGATGGTGCTTCGCTGCCCGCGGCTATGGCGGTCACAACCGGTCGTTGATAATCCCTCCGAGAACACGCCACCTCCCCTTCGTGTCTGGGAGTTCCAAGAGTCCCCACTGAACGCCACCCGGCACCCCCACGCCTGGCTTTCTGCACTGGATGGGCAAACGAACCACGAGCCCAGGTACTTGTGCTGCTCGACCGTTACCGCCTCGGGTGACGCGACATCGTCCAAGCGGGAGGGTCCTAGCGTTTCCCGTCGCACCATGCACCGCAGATGCCACACAATGCCACCCACGACCCGTGAGTGGCCACCCCGCAGGTCCACCACAGCCTACCCGGGCTTCGGCGGCGGACAAAACAGCCAAACTGGTCCGAAAGTCTGGAAGAACTCTTCCAAAAGTGTGGAAAAGAGGCACTTCGGTGGGGTCCCGTCTTTTCTTTTCCGAAAACTTCCAGGACTTCCGCGTTGCTTTACCACGGAAACTGCCTTTTCCAGACTTTGGGCGGTGGGGTCCACCTCTTAGTTAGATATTTGGTAGATTTCTGGAACTTTGATCATGTATTTCACTTCGCCCTTTGAGAGTTGTCTGAAATAATTGTAGGCTTAAATTGTAAATTTTTCGTGAATTGCCTTGTGCATTTTCAAGATATCTAAGAATTTAGTTTGCTTTTGGAAATAGTTTTAGCCTTTAGGGTTAAATTGTGAAATTTTCGTGAATTGCCTTGTGCATTTTCGAGATTTGCAGTCTATAGCCCGTAGTCCTTTGCCAATAGTGTTTCAATTTTAGAAACATGCCGACGTTTTCCTTTGCAACAAGGATATTATACTGTTATAGATC